TGACTATTTATGAAATTAATAGTATATTATGTATCAAGTTTTATAAACGCCATTTTAGTTACGAGTTTAATTAAGCACGAGCGAAGCTTGCGAGCAAGTGTTTGATAAAAACGAGTGTCTAGAGAAGTTTATAAACGAGTTGCATACTATACATTATCTACGACGAACACAAAACAGAATTTAAAGCCAATTTTATTTGTTAAAATTTTGACATCTGTCAACTGTCACCCGAATTTAACCTCACTTTTTCCCAATTTATAATAAAGCTAACTTCAGCCCGTGACGTAAAATGTCGAAAAGCAACTGTTGTTAACTTCAGCCCGTCAATAAAACGCCATAAAGTGACAGCTCGTCAATGTAGGAGTAGATAAAATAAGTTAAAAATAGGATAACGTTAAGAATAGTATATTATGTATCAAGTTTGATAAACGCCATTTTATACACGAATTTAATTTAGGCACGAGCGAGCTTGCGAGCGAGTGCTTAAGTTAATGAGTGTATAGAAAAGTTTATAAACGAGGTGCATACTATACTTTTTCCACGACAAATACTTATTATTATCTTAAAATGATTTAAATCAAAAATTTGTATAGAGCGCCGTCTATGAAACAACAGGGGAAACTGTCAAATGTCACATTTTTACATTTTATAAACACAATTATAAAGGTTATAAATCGAAATATATCTTGAAAATTGACAGTTTTTCACAGTGAAAGTAAAGGAAATGTTTTATGAGGACTTTACAGTAGAGTCCGTGCACGAATTTAAGATATAGTTTATTGCCGGCGAAATTAAAAGGTCAGTACAAAGTTCATATAAACTTTTTAAATATTGGCGTTGAGAAACTATTTAATATTTTTGTATTGAGATAATAAAATAATTTTCTCATTTAGTATTATTTTACAAGAAAGGCACTTTATTTTAACGATTGTATGACATTTGACAACTATCAACTAACTTAAAACTAACTTCAGCCCGTGACTAAAGCGCCGTAAAGCCACAACTTGTCAATGTGTATTTAAAAGGTCACTTAGTGTCATGGAAACATGTACGATAAAGGGCGTTTTAAAGGTGGGAGTAGAAAAAATATTTTATGTTCTAGTTTTTTTTATTACTATACCGGGTGTATCTGAGAATAGGCGCACCCCTGTAACTTTTTTATTTATAAAGATAGACACATGAAATATAGCATGGTTAATTAGGATATAAAATGCCACTTATAAGATTACAAAATGAATTTTTCGAACTTCCGGTTTCGCCGGAAATCATATCAACTTTCGATTTTTAGATGGAACGCCCTTTTACATATTTAGAATCCTGAGAAAATTCTGAGTCGGAAAGCATTCTCAAATTTACCTTTCGACGTTTCGTCATCAAAAAATTCATCATCATAAAGATCAATCTAGAGTGCTTTGAACTATTTGAGAATAACGAATTTTGACGTTTAGACTGCTGGGAATAGCTGAATAACAACTTTCTAAGGCAAGTTTAATTTTTCAGGCATTGTGTGAATCCATTAGATGAAAATAAGATAGTTCAAAGCACTCTAGATTGATCTTTATGATGATACATTTTCTGATGACGAAAAGTCAAAAGGTCAATTTGAGGATGCTGTCTGACTCAGAATTTCCTCAGGATTCCAAATATTTAAAAATATATAGGGCATTTCATTTAAAAATCGAAAGTTGGTATCATTTCCGGCAAAACCGAAAGTTCAAAAAATTCATTTTGTACTCTTATAAGTGAAATTTCATGTGTCTATCTTTATAAATAAAAAAGTTACAGGGGTGCGCCTATTCTCAGATACACCCGGTATATAAATATTATCACGAAATATTAAAAAATCTTACATGGGAGATGTTAAAGGAAGAAAAAGTGACAGTTGTATTTATTGGAATTCCCGTTAGAATTTCTGACATGAGAATATACCGGCGTTAAAATCTTAAATTTTTCTGTTTAAATCAAAATTTATTTTTTGAAAATAAACTAACAAACGTTCATATAATCTTTTCAAATATTGGTATCAAGAAACTTTTTGAAATAATGTTTACATTTAGTGTTATTTTACAAGAAGGCACTTTATTTTAAAGATTGTATGACATTAGATCCTTGCCAACTAACTTAAAACTAACTTCAGTCCGTGACTAAAAACCTGTTGCTAACTTCAGCCCGTGGCTAAAGTACCATTAAGTCACAACTTGTCAATGGTAAAAGGTCACTTAGTGTTTTACAGGTGGGAGTAAAAAAAACTTAAAAATTACCATGTTTGCACTTTTTTATACGCACATCAAATCATATTCATACAAACGCTTTCTGTGAAAATTAATAACATACAATTAACAAAATCTGCGTGAAAAAAATGTTGAGTCACTCAAGCCTTATAACAAGTTGGGTTCTTTTTTTGTGGTTTTGTTATTTTACTTTCTCTATTTTTTGTGGGATGCAGGTTTATAGGTTGTTAAAACTAGTTCTATTGGTTTTATTTTCCGTTTTAATTTTTTTAATCAAGTGTTTAATAAATTGTTAAAATTCCTTTATTAATAATACCTAATAGTTATGGTAACCATGAAATCGAAATTAGGATTAAAAAAAAAATAGGGTTAGGTATTTACTTCTTAAACTAGTGACATGATTGTCAGATGTATTTTTTGACAGTTTGTTTCAAAAATCATAACTTTGTTTTTAATCGTAGGCCCAGGGCCGGATTAAGAGTTTTGAGGCGCTGGGCAGGGCCATATTACCCATTAGGCAGGCAAGGCAATTGCCTTAGGCGCCGCGTAGAAATAGGCGCCTTGTCCCCAAACAACTTAAAAAAATAAAAATTGTTACCAAAATGTTTATTTTTTCCAAAAATAAAACAAATAAACAATATACAATTGTAATAACAGAATATTATTTACTGTTTTTATTATTTTATACAAATTTAGCTTCCTTTGTACTAACAAAGTGTAAAGCCGACAAAAAAGAGTGCCGCAAATTCACTTCTGTTTTTATGTTTAAATACATAAATGTATTTCAGATAAAATTAATCAGGTGTTATATCACCATGCTTGATTACGAGGGACTACGTTTTGAAGTAGAATAATATATTTTATTATTAACTGTATAATTAACAAATAATAATAAATCTTAACGTTAAACTGCAAACAAAAACTTAAAAGATAATTTAATTTGTCTTTACCCTGTATAAATTTTAAAACCCCCGTATGCTCCAAGCACACGGATTCCTCTTGCATCGGGTACCCGCTGTGATGTGCTGCTCACCCCAGCGGGTACGCGATACTAGAGGAAACTGCTGCCGGAAGGACTTGGGTGTTTTCGCGTTTATTCAAGAGTGGCACTTCTATGTGTTGTGTGTTTGGTGATAGCAGTCTGTGTTCTATAGTTAAGGTTGATTTAGCCTGGCTTTTAAATTAAATTACGTTACGTTAGATTACGTTACACAAAATGCTGGCTAAATCCACATTTAGATAGTGTTAATTTTTCTGTTTGTTTTAAGGTATTTCTGAAATTTTAATATTAAACTAATTACAATATACCAGCAGTACATCTAACATACAAATACAGAAAATTAAAGTTGATTTAATTTTTTTTAAATACTTACTAATGACATCTTGCAGAAAAACGCACTTATAAGTCCTAACACTTTTTATTTACATTATATTTGTTATGTTTGTATGTTATTTATGTTTTTTATGTATTTTTTTAATGATAAAAAGTATTCATAGGGAATAATTAGGTTATAATGCTCGGGCGCCCTTAAGCTAACAGTTTGGGGTGGTTCTAATAGGCTTTTTTAAAATTTGCCCCGGACCCCGTAAGTATAGTATCTAGTTAGAGGAGCCAAATTTTTAAGTGCCTAAGGCGCTCAATTGCCTTAAGCCGGCTCTGGCCCTGGGGCCGAATTTGGTGGGGGCCCTCAATATTTCTAAAATTTTTGACACTTGGGAAATTAAAACTCTTGATAAATTCTTAAGCTAGAGGAACTTTACGTGATTTTTTATTATCCTTGAATCATTTATTATTTAATAAACCATATAAATTTTAATAAAATCGGCCAAAGCTTTTTTAAGCTATAAATAAAAAAACTATTTTTTTTTAACGAAACACCCTGTATCTAGATAATGAAGCATTTTCGGACACGTGTTTATAGGAACTGTTTTTCATATTTTGATGAGAGGAATTTTCTTTGAGCTTTTGTCACCACAAGTCTGAATCACCCAGTATATTTTGAATAATACATAACATAACCTTATATATATTTTACCCAAGTCTGAGAAATTATAAAATCGTATGCAAAACTATAAAAACGTAGATATATCTACGTTTTTATAGTAGAATAGAATTGTGAATTAAAGTGTTTTTATATACTTATATTTTATATATTTTGAATAAAAATAAAATATAAATTGATCTATGTTTTGTTTGTATTTTTAATACTTACCGCAAACTGAAAAAGGTGCATCAAAAGTCGTATTATTTGTCTGTTTTTCATACAAAATCAAACAATAAAACAATCTTTTGTTCAAAGAAAAGCACGAAACAGTATTTCGGAAACACCGGAAAATATAATATATATAAAAAAAAATCCTCGAAAAATTAGAGTTAGATCTACGAAAAATTAATTGAAAATTACAGGATTCGCGCTGTATAACCGACCCAATTTTTTGTTTTTTCGACAATTTTTTTTTATTTTTGACTATTTAAAGAATGCATTTTTATTTTTGGTGGTAAAAGCAGACGCATCATATCAACATTTGGTTTTTAAGAGGGGGAAATAATTCGACACGGATTATCCGTGACGGATATTGTAGCTGAAGATTTCAGTCGCCCACTCTCTGGTGCTGGGTGAAAGTGGAACTCCAAAATGCATTTTAAAAAACTCATCGCGATATTATTAAGTTAATTTACGTTTAAAAAGGATTCAGATACTTTAGTCAAATGTGTAATGTTTTGCATTCATCATAACAAAATGTAATGTTATGTGTTTTTTTTTTCAGGAGCTCTATCCATAAGAAACTCATCCTGTCCAAGAATATGCACTCCACACGGTTTCGGCGATCCAGTATGCGGAACAGACGGCTACATCTACCCGAATATATGCGAACTCAAGAAAAAAACATGCGGAAAAGGTAAAAAAACAAACAAAAATATTTGTTGTTACTATTTTTATTTTTAGGGGTCAACTTATCCCCTGACCCGGACCTGTGCCACCGCCACAGCGGCTCTAAATGCGAGCACAAATGCGGCAACGAAAAAGACCCTGTATGTGGAACTGACGGTAGAACCTATTTAAATCGGTGTATGCTGCAAGTGGAAATTTGCAGGTAAAATTATAATGTATATTAATTTTATTTATATTCCATTGTTTTGCCTTCTAGATTAGATATAGCACTATCCCATGTAGGACCCTGTAATAACATAAGCGCCCACCGAGAAAACTGCCCTGTAGACTGCAAACAGGCACCTCAGGACGGCCCTGTCTGCGGTAGCGATGGCAACGTCTACAAGAACACTTGTCAGATGAAACTGCTCACTTGCGGGTAAGAAATAAATCTATCTTTTTTATAGTAATAAAAAGAACGTTAAAGTCATATTTTTTATGCTTTACGAGTAAAACAGCTCTAGTGGAAACAGCAGATAAAGTAACGGTAAAATTAGGTACCTAGATTTTCTATTCATCTTTACTACAAATACCACCATATAAAACAAATCTAACCTTTAAAATAACAAAGACACCAAGATACATACACGTTAATAGTATATTATGTATCAAGTTTGATAAACGCCATTTTATACACGAATTTAATTTAGGCACGAGCGAGCTTGCGAGCGAGTGCTTCAGTTAATGAGTGTACAGAAAAGTTTATAAACGAGGTGCATACTATACTTTTTCTACGACAAATACTTATTATTATCTTAAAATGATTTAAATCAAAAATTTGTATAGAGCGCCATCTATGAAACAACAGGAGAAACTGTCAAATGTCACATTTTTACATTTTATAAACACAATTATAAAGGTTATAAATCGAAATGTTCTTGAAAATTGACAGTTTTTCACAGTGAAAGTAAAGGAAATGTTTTATGAGGACTTTACAGTAGAGTCCGTGCCCGAATTTAAGTTATAGTTTAATGCCGGCGAAATTAAAGGGTCAGTACAATGATCATATAAACTTTTCAAATTTTGGCGTTGAGAAACTATTTAATATTTTTGTATTTTTGTATTGAGATAATAAAATAATTTTCACATTTAGTATTATTTTACAAGAAAGACACTTTATTTTAACGATTGTATGACATTTGACAACTGTCAACTAACTTAAAACTAACTTCAGCCCGTGACTAAAAACCTGTTGCTAACTTCAGCCCGTGACTAAAGCGCCGTAAAGCCACAACTTGTCAATGTGTATTTAAAAGGTCACTTAGTGTCATGAAAACATGAACGATAAAGGGCGTTTTAAAGGTGGGAGTAGAAAAAATCATATTTACGTTAAAATCATATTTACGCGATTTTATACTTCTAAAACAGCTCTAGCCTTGAAAATATTTTGACATTTTATTTTGACATTCGATAAGCTTAAATTGTTTTACTTATCATTAAAGTAAGGTGACCAACTGTTCTGATTTAATCAGAACTATACTGTTTTTGAAGTCTTCGTTGACAGGAAATCGAAGGTAGTAAAGGTTCTGATTTTCTTATTTTGGTTCTGCTCTGTTCTGATTTAGTTTACCATATAAAATTAACTTCTTGATAAATCCATATTAATTTATTAGGTATACCTAATAACTAAAAATAACTAGGCTAAAAACACAAATTTCATAATATTTAATTTATAAATATATAATAAATAAATTCCACGCCAAATCGACCACTTTTGACCCTTTCGATTTGACTGAACTTTTAAAAAAAATTCCCAAGCAGCATTTTTGGTTCCAAAAACCATTGCCAAAGTGGTGATAACTTAAATTAGTTAAGTATACTAAACAGCTACTTTAATTTTTACTTAAAAGTAATTTTAACTTTTAAATAGCAATATTTTGTAACAGTAACTTAATTTTTCCTTAAATGGTTACTATAAAGTAATAAACATTTAAGTAAAACTTGGTTGCCCCCAAGAAGACTTTGCAACTTTAAAAAAGGTGTTATAAGTAAAAAAAACTTTCAAGTAAATTTAATTTGTAGCAGTGTACTTTCGGTTGCTACCTAAAGATTACATTATAATTATATTTACTTTGTAGTCCCTTTCCAATAACTTAAGTTAAAATCTCGAAACTGGAACATGCGTTAAAAACTACAAAGTTAATAACTTAAAAGTTATTATTTTAGTATTTGGAACGTTTATGGTACTAACCAAAACAACCGTAAAGTGGAAAAAACTTTAAAGTAGCGAAAACTACTTCAAAGGAAAATGCTTCTTATCGGCCATTTTTTACTGTACAGTATCACGTGGTAATGTAAATAATAAATTATTTTAATTGTTTGTAAATGGTTGTTTACTTTTTAATAAATAGTAATTTTGTTGGCAATAGACGGTATTAATAATGAAATCAAAAAATTAATAATAAATATTAAATTTTTTTTATTTATAAACATTATTAAATAAATAATTTGTTTATACTTAAATATTGATGAAGCGCATTTATTTTACAAAAACTAAATTCATAAGTTCAACAGTAAAATTTAAAGGGTTTATAAATTTACCTGCCTAATTAAACATTATATTGTTATTCTGGAAGTTATAAACTACCAGTACATATTTAACCCTTATGTGCACGGAAAGGTACAGGTGTAACTTTTTAATTTTTGTTATGCAGTAACTTATTTAATTTAATTTAAAAATAATTCATGTTTTATGACATCTTTAAATAAGGAAAGATAATGCCTTTTATGTAAAAATTATAACGTTTACCTTACGTGGAAATTTTTTATTTTAATCCCAAACTTATTATCCCATTTAAGCACGGATAGGTACATTCGTACCTATATGTGTTTAAGTTGAAAATTAATAGGGGGGAAATAAAAACAACAATAAATTCACAAATATATATACATATATATATATATATGTATATATACATATATGTATATATATATATATTCAGTTCTGAAGTGAAACATTTTGTGATGGTTTGAGCATGTTCATCACATATTGGGATTTTGCAAATGTTGCAACATTTTCTGGTTTTTCTTTGCTTTTTATTTATGTTTCGGCAAATATAGCATGATCCCACCATAGATTAATAACCTACTGGTTTCGGGCCTTTAGATTCTTGAGGTTTATTTTCCGTAGCAAATGATTACCATGATGGTACCAGTGGATGCCTCATAATCGATTCCAGTGAATTTTGGTAGAAAATATTTTTACAACATTTGGCATTTGAGAGCGTTTTTCAATATTACCCATTGCGAGGCTGCGTCCTAAATCTTGATAAAAAGTTCTTCGGCTATGTGATAACGACATAATTCCCTTTGGCTCTCCATGTCTTCAAACACTTTATAAAACCAAATCAATACTAAAATATTTTAATGCGTTGAATTTAAACCAAAATAAACATGTTTTCTAGTATAAGGTACAATTGTACCTATCTGTGCGGTATCAGTATATTTATTCTCTATGCACATAAGGGTTAATAAACGACGACATTGAAAAGCCAAGTCCGTAGTGGTTCCATTTAAAAAAGGAGGGATAGTATAATCTAATATAAGTTTGACAAAGACAGTTAATATAGAAGAACAAATAAATAAAAGTAATTATAACGCTCTAGCAAAGATACTGGAACGTTCTAGTAACGTAGCAGCTACGTTCCAAATAGTAGCAGGGTTTATAGCTAGTTACATATTTGCTACCTTTTTGGAACTCAATAATTGTTCCCCACTTTAGTCGTAACTTAGTAATAAAAGAGTAATATAAAGAGACCGGCGACTGTCGCAAAACACTTTAAAGTTTCTTCAATAGTTCCATATATATACGTAACAAATACTTAAATTGTTGCTTGGGTTTCTACCCCACTAAAAAAGTTTCTCAGAATTTTTCCAATTTTTTTACCCAACCAAAAAAAAGTTACGAATTTTCAAAAAAATGGCTAATTTTCTTTTAAAATACACATAACTTTGTCAAAATTTGACTAAACGGGGCGGTTTTTTTTTAACTTTTCAGAAAAAAATACAAAAAAGTTTGGGAAAAAGAGACATTTTTTTTTTAAATTTTTAACATGTTTTTGGTCGGGTGAAAAAAAACTAAAAAATCTAAGAAAAATTTTTAGTGGGGTGAAAAAATATAACATAATCACATAACAAATCGAAAGGGGTCGGGTTCAAAAGTGGCCGATTTGGCTTCAGCCCGTGACTAAAATGCCCAAAAACCACTGTTGCCAACTTCAGCTCGTGACTAAAACGCCATAAAGTCACAGCTTATCAATGACATGATTCAACGTGGGGGGTAAATAAATATGTTTTATTTTTTCAGTCAAGGAGTTGTAAGGACAAACAAAAAATACTGCCAAACTACGAGGCATTGCAGGGAGTCCTGCTGGAGAAATGCTCGTCCCGCGTGTGGTTCTGACGGAAAATTATACACCAACGTTTGCAGGATGAAGTCGAAAAATTGTGGGTAAGTTAATCAAACTATAGTATTAAACCGCAACTTCATATTTTCATTTTTTTGTCTTCAAGCACAAGACAAATCATTATTTTATTTAAAAAAATCTATACATAGACTTTGCAACGACCGATCACAACAAAATATTCAATTTATAAATTCAAGATAAAACCCTAAAACGACTGATTGTTTTTACCATAGATATAAAATATGTCTATCAATATGTTGTACTGTCTTGCAAGATTTCTTTTAAATTGTAAAATGGAATGGAAATGTAATTCTTTGAATTCTCCACTTTACAACATTAATGGTTTTAGCAAACACGTATTTGAGGTCCCAATGGCGTACTGTGTGACCCAAGAAAGAACTTCACATTCAATTGGATGTCCAGTGAGCTGTCAGAACGAAATCGAAAAACCAACATGCGGATCAGACGGTTTCATCTACAAAAGCGAGTGCGAACTAAAACTTCTGAACTGCGGGTGAGTCCCATAAAATAACCTTGCGGAAAACTAAAAATTAAAATAATTATTTTTGCAGATCAAATCGTCGTGTAAGCAGAGTGGACTTCGACAAATGTCGCAACAAGTTGAGCAAATGCCTGAAAATTAAGTGTAACAACGATTTTGATCCAGTCTGCGGAACTGACGCAAGAACTTACACGAATAACTGTCAGTTAAGTTTAGCAACGTGCCTTAAGGGTATCCAGTTCGCTCATATTGGAAATTGTACGGCTCTTAAGGATCAAGAACCCTGTCCAAGTGATTGCGACAATGAAACCGGGGAAGAACCGGTATGTGGGTCCGACGGAAATGCTTATAGGTATGAAAAATTCAAAACACCAGAAATAAAAAAATATATATTTGAAATAAGCACAATATGTTAATGATTCTCGAAATTTCTTTAATTAATTTATTTCTTTTGGCCAATAAAATTCCTAAAGAAGGAAAATTACTAATTTGAAATTCCATATTAATTAATTTATAAAGAATATTATATAATCAACAAAAACACTTTATTTTAGGTCAAACTGTCACATGAGAAAAGAAACTTGCGGACAGTTGGTAATACAAGTCGACTCTCACCACTGTAGGACTACAGCCCTGTGTAATGAAAAATGTTCGGATGATAGAAATTTCGTATGCGGATCTGATAACAAAATTTACAGGAGTGAATGTGAAATGAAACGGGACAATTGCGGGTTAATAATGAATAAAAAAATCGGAAACCAAAACCTAAACAACTTTTTTTTGTAGAAAACACATATACGTTGTTCCAATGAAGCGTTGCATCTCCGGGTTCCTCTTCAAGGGTTGTTCCAAAATCTGCCCCACTTACTATGACCCAGTGTGTGGAACTGACAACAAAACCTACAGTAACACCTGTTTCCTGGACATCGAGAATTGTCGGTCAAGGTCGTTGGTTAACATGAAAAACATGGGCACATGCGCAGAGCCCATCAACGAAATACCAAAAAATTATCTGTACTGATTTAAATTTAGTTGTTAAAAAACAAATACCCTAAATCGAAATTTTCATTATTTATTAAACCCGAAATTATTATTTATTTAGCTTGCCTGTCTCTAAAAACCATCAGTATACTCATATTTAATAATAAATTATTATTAAAATCGTGCCAACTGCCAAATTAGTTCGTATCTATTATCTTTATTTTTAAGGTATTACTTGTATTTATTTTGTTTTCAAATAATCACCCTTATATCATAGATGAGCTGTGTTTTGTACTGTTAAGTTATTATAATATGAATGACTTGTGTATTTATAATACAAATAAATTATTCTTTAATTTTTGACACTTTTTTTTGAACCCTTGAAAAAATCCGAAATCGGCAGTAAAGTAGTCAACAATCAGCAGTAAAGTTAAAGAAATGTCGATTTAATAAGAGTATTGTATGCAACCCATTATACATTTTAAGATGTGTCTACTGCTCCTCGCGTAGGTCGATTGGACCCTTTCATAAAATGTTGTTTAATAAAAATATTGAGTTAATTTTATTAATAAGATTAAAAAATCGCCGCGGCGGGCAAATACCTATATAATATCCGTCGCAACAAACAGTATACGTAGACACTTCACTTCACACTACATTCAAATGACATTTGATTTGATCATCAGGTGCAATCAGTGTTGCCAATGGTGTTGACATAATTTACACACAGATTCTGTCAAAATTCCACAATTTTGCCAACTATTCCACACATTTGGGATTTTGGTTTTGTTAGGTTTCTTTGGTGATTATAATATATACCGCAGAAAGAGTTTTTTAGGTGAATCACCACAAAAACTCTTTCTGCGGTAATTACTGGTGATTAAAGACGTTTTCAAAAACTTTTTAATTTGCTGTATATATAGAAATCTGCACAGAAATTCGTCCATATAACTAAAATGAGCATTTGCAAATACATATATCTATTTAAATGCTTGTTATAAGCATTGTTAATTTAAAGATAAAGTTTACACGCAAATTCCACACATTTATGTATTACACACAAATTACACACAACAAAATAAATTCCACACAATGCGTGGATTTCCACGTACATTGGCAACACTGGGTGCAATATGCAATATGCACCTCGGCCACGGTCTTATATACAGGTCTTGCAACTTTAAGCTTCGAGGTGGCTTCCTTAACGTGCCAAGCCGCTAGGTGGCGCTAAGATCGAAGGGGTAAAGTCAATTAAACTACTACTTAGTTAAATGTGGAACTACTGCATAACCATAACCTAACTTTTTAAATTCTTTTTCTATGTTTTGTTTACATTTTCAAAAATTTAATATTTGTGAGTTTGTTTCGGATAATTTACGTTAACAAAATAGGACAACAAAGTCTATACTCTATGCACAAAGTCCTCGGCCGTCACATGCCCAGACCAAACATGTTAATGTATAAAATACATACGTATATCATATATAGGTATGTTACGGCTAATGTGTAAACATGGATAGTTTATTAAGTAGCTGGGTAGTTTATAAACTAGCCAAACTGTCAGCTATTTTAATTGAAAACGTATTTTTAACTAAATTAGCGGCTAGTTTGTAAACCAACCAAGGGTCTTGGCTAATTTACTTGAAATTATTTAGGAATAGCTGGATAATTTGTAAACTATCCAATTCAATTTGGCTAATATGAAAACCAAAATTTATAGTAACACAACAAACTAACCAACCAATATTCTGGCTAATTTATTAATAACCGATTTTTTTATTGTCTTGGCGGGGATGGGTTGATTGTTTATTTAAAATAATATATATTTCACCAACACGATGTGCTTAATTATATATATATATATAATAATCATACAAAATGTGAAGGTGTCAATAATATGTTTTTTATTGCACATTGCCATGTTTTTAACCGCTCCTTATTTGTTAGCACTTTAAACATGGACCGCTTAATTTTGCCGGAACGATAGCTTTGCTGGTTACATTTTGGCACAACACAGGACTTCATGTCTATTAAAAAGCACAAATACAAATGTATAACAAGAACAAATATAACAAGAAAAAATAGAACAATATAATATAACAATAACGAATATAACAATAACAATAAGTAAAAACTCCCTGTAACAAAATACACAAGCTTGTTTATAAAGTATATAAATGTATATTATGTTTCTTCACAGAACATAAGTAGGTAGTTCATTTGACCTTTATCCCATAGACTTTAAGGACTTAGAGCCGGTTTTACAATCGTTAGATTAAGTTAGCTTATTTGGCGGATAACTTTCATAGAAACCTTCTATCTAAGAAAATTATCCACCAGAGAGCTTATCTAACGATTGTAAAACCCCAAGATAAAGAAGGTAAAAACGACCTTTAAACATCTATGGTTCACCCTCAACTCGATGCGCCATCTGGTGGGTGTCTCATTAGAGAGGTCACTTTTCCTATTGAAATTGGGCGAAGTTGCAAGACCTGTATATAAGACCGTGACCTCGGCATTAAGTCATTTTTTATCACTCACGTGGTTATTATAATAATTTCCACATTCGTGATAAAAAATACGAGTTTACTGCATTGATACATAAATAACTATTGTATAATAGTGCATAATACAACGTTAAAAGTACATATACGTTATTTTGTTATTTAAACAAAAAAATAAACATTCTTCTTCTTCTACAATCTGAACACAGAAGCACTGTGTTCAGGGGTAATTCCCTTTAGCTTACTTGAAAGCTTGGCAGAGATAAAGAAAGCTTGACAGAGATAAAGAAGCTTGGCCAGCTCATTATGTTTTAAAAAAAATTAATATGATCAAGGGTCTCAATTAAGAGAATCTAAGTACAACTCGGTCCTTGAATCATTTATTTTATATTATTATTGTTCATAGTTCATTTTAATTATATTTTATGTATAATTTCTTTCACTATTTTCACTGCATCACACTTGTTTTTTTGATATATTCTTGTTTATTTATTAAGGTATATGTCTATTTTCTTTGTTTCTTTATTTCTTTTTATTGAAAAGTTTTCAATACTTTCAACATTGTCCAAAATTACTTACTACCCGATAAAAAAAGATTGTATAAAATTGTATAAAATTATATATAATTATATAAAAAAAATGGCCCGATATAATTGGATAGAATTCAATACAATTATATAGAAGTATATATAATTATATAAGAAAACCGACCCGATATAATTATATAGAATTCTATACAATTATATATAATTATATATAATCATATATTATTATATTCCTGCAAAAACTCGCCAACTGAAATTTTGTAAAAATCTTAAAGTTCAAATTTACTAACCAAATTTACCTTATCTTTAATGTATAAAAGTCAGTAAGTGCTTTAAGCATTATATGCATATATGACTTATACATTAAAGATATGGTTATTTGCATATATAAACAACAATCCACACAACTATGTTTTTTAAGAAAGTTATCCGCCAAATAAGCTAACTTAATCTAACGATTGTAAAACCGGCTCTAAGTCCTTAAAGTCTATGGGATAAAGGTCAAATGACACAAAATAACAGTTAGTGACTTTATGCAGGTATATAAAAATATGTCATCAAAACCTGCTCACCATTATTATTGGAGCTACAAAGTCGGTTAAATAAGCAAATTAGTGGTATTTTTACAGAAAAACAGTTGAACGTATATTTTTATATATTTTGAAACACAACTTAATATGAAACAAAAAATTATTATAGCATTACTACCCTAAACCTAAAAATACACAATTAATAAGCACTGGAATTTTCTAATGATTGTTGAAATATCCAAATTATAACAATCACTCAAGCAAATTAGTTTTATTTAAGCTTTAACTTGAAGAGAACACTATAATATAACAAACACACTTTATGAAGAATACGATATCTAGATTCACGACACAGAAAAAGAATTTCTTCTAGCAAAAGGCGACAAAGAACACCAAAACACGCCATCTTGGTTTTCTCTCAGTGTTACCACCATAACGTATGGCGGCAAATTAACACAAACTATTAAATGAGTACAGATCAGTTCTGTGTTGTCCGCTGAAGTGACAAGTGTCCTTGAGAGGACAATATGGTGCTCACAGCACAAAATTAAGCTAATCAGTGCCAAAACTCCAAAATCTACATTAGATTTGTGAAGATGCAATAGATTTCCACAAAGGATGGTGGAAATATTAAAGGATTTAATAGTCATGTTCAAACAGCCATGTAGTGCATCGTGGGTTTTTTTGCTATTTTTTTGCCCTCTATTTTTATGTATGACTTCCGCTGCGTGTATGGTGATTTCGTTTATGTTTGAGACATTAGTGTATTAGTGTAATAAAAATGACTCTAAATGATAAGTGTACTGCGAAGATTTGTTAAGATTGAACTGTAATGCTAAAATAAAAAGATTGATTTATGAACTATGAAGACTGAAGTGATATTGATGGACATTAATTTTGAAAAATAAAACAAATAATCAAGAAGAAAACGAGAAGCTGTAATTTATATATATTATATAATAAAGAAGAAAGGAGAAGCTATAGGTAATCCTAGACTCGCTTACTCCAGTGCCTAAAAGAAACGTGATTAAGCTGGCTAAATCCCGGAAGGGAAAGGCCAATCAAACCAGAGAAGAAGAAGAAGAAATGAGTACAGATTGCGTTTGTAATTAAATTTTTAAGGTTAACTGACGCTTACTACCCTATTTATTGTTTAGAGACCTCTAAATATGTTAATACCTTACAAACAATTGTTGCTTAAGGTGTTTGAACAATTATTAATTACCAGCCGTGATTTCTGCGCATGCGTATTAAGTTGTCTGCTATCCAGTTGTATTTTGTGGTCATATAACAAATACACAAAATGTAATCTTGTTTTTCTACTCCCACTTCCACCCCCAGTATCGTTCCGTTCAGTATGTTTCCAAAATATTTTAAAAACACATTGACAAGCTGTTACTTTATGGCGTTTTAGTCAAAGGCTGAAATTTTAATTAAAATTGTACTTGCGAATCTTCACCAAAAATAAATCGATTTATAAGAATCATTATCACTTACCCACATAATATTAAATAATCCTCACTTTTTTGTAATCAAAATCCTTAACCAATTGAAAATATTTT